ATGTACTTATAATATATACAAATAAGTTAGTGGTCGCTTACGGCTTCATTTGTGCTAGCATTAGAATACATCTAAATTCTAAGTAGTGAAAGGAAATAAGGATATATATGTATGTAAATAAGCAAAGACATAATCAGTACAGTGCCTTTTTCTCCTGTGTTTGTCAACCGATTTTCTTTTATTTATATTAGTAGGTAGCTATTGACGAGTTTTAGTATTATCAATAAAAAAAATTTAGAAACAGTTTTTTGGATTTAAGTTATTTATCGCACGTTACTCGACAAACTTAGCTAATGAGAGCTAGATGTAAACAAGTAGCATATTCGATATTATAAGTGTTAAGAAAATTTGTAGGAAAAAGTTGTAAGAAATTCTTGTGCACGCTGTATGATAGCTTCAACATGTAAAATGTTCGTTGCTTGATGTTTATGATACCCACTAGGGTAGTTGAAGCACACGAGTACCTACTAACTCAATGACAATTTTTATGATCTAATTTTGTGAGCCAAGAGCAGACAGCAAAAAGAAGTTTGTGCTCTACCATCACTGTTTCTCAGAATAAAAAATAACCTGCCACTCTCCAACTAATATACTGACATCTGACTACCATACCACTAAACCAACGAAGCAGTTTATAATAATAAATATAGTATAGTAAAAGTTAAATATATTATACCGTTTGTGAGTCTGTAAAATTGTATTAAATGAAAATTGCAAATTAACTGGGATGAACAATCGACAAGAATTTCAAAAATCAATAAAATTTTACGTCTGTTAACATACGATCGTCCTAACGATATACCTATTTCAAATGTTCTATCCACCTTAAAGTTGTGAATTGTTGTTGTGGGGATGTTTTAGTTGAAGATGGAACTAGATCACAAGTTCCTGCTTACAATCCAAGCTAGATTAAAAGTTATGTCAGCTGGCGGTTTAGTTCTAGCAACCTAAGTAATTATATATAATCCACGTATATTAATGTACGTCTCAAAACTTAATAAAATAAAAGTCATTTACAATTATGTATTATTCATATTATTAGTAGGTTTTATGTTTCTGCTCAGGCTTCACCGAGTTAATTTTTTAATTCATAGGTATGGTATGTATGTGTTCAACCCTTTTTACCGTCCCAATGCTGGGCACGGACCTCCTCTTAATGTGAGAGGGAAAGGGAAGGTATTAGGTACCTAAAAATATTTTTGTCATACAAAATTTTCCTCCTTTAAAAGAATTAATCGTAAGGTTTCGTATTACATTTTGTTGCGCAGTTTCAAGAAGCCAACTACAACAAAATAAACAACAATGATACGCTTAAAATAAAAACTATTTTTTCGAATTTATTCGCGGATTTTTTTTTCGGGAATCAAACACCAAAGTAAATACGCGGACAAATCCGAAGATAGTTTTGTTTAAATGGCAAAAGTTCGTGTAAATCTAAGTAACACGGCGCGGCGCGGCGTTCCAGCTAGCGGTTTGACCGGACTGGACGACGATGAATCGCTTAGCTATAAAATAAGTTTTATAATTATATGCATATAATAATTATGAACCTACACTTACAGGTTATTATTACCAAAATACACTTTATAATTATAAATAAAATAAAAAAGTTATTTAATTATATCCTTACTAGTATTGAGATGTCTGTTTGTAATGACAAAATAACAGCTTTTTACTAAATGCATATGAAAGTATGTATATACGGTAATAAGAAAAAAATAATTTAAAAATGTTTGTTTGTCTATCTGTCAGTGTATTATATCTCCGAAACAGCTTGACCGATTTTGACGGGCCTTTACTGCCAGATAGCTGATGTTATAAGGAATAACTTTTATTTTAGAAAAAGAATCAGGGTTCCGCGTGAAAAAATTAATATCCATGAAATTGTGAACAAAATCTATATTTAAATATAGATATAGCTAGTTTGTCTTAAAGACTAAAGTTCATGGACCGTTTATTTTGACTAGGAAATCGTTTTCTTTTTATGCGGCATATGAGTTATAGATATGTATAATTATCTAAATAAAAAAAAAATGAAAAAAAATACTTTATATAATTAACTAAGCCGAATCTGTACATTAGATATTTTTTGGAAAATCTTATTGAAATAAACATTATTATCGATACAGAGGCTGAATCTAGTTTTTAGAATTTTTGTCTGTCTGTCTGTCTATTACCGCAACACAGAAAAATACTTAATATGTAAAACATAAGAATTTGGTTTTTGGTCATCTGAACGCGGGCGGAGCCGCGGGCAATGCTAGTAATACCTAAAACAGTAGTTCTCAAATTTGAAATACAGAATTTCTATATGCGTTGGTTTTATTTTCATTTAGAGCATGTGCGCGTCGTTTCATATCAGACTGAGTAGATGTTAAGTACTAAGTAGAAGTTGTTATAAACTTTAATTCTGCTTGTTTTTATTAAGTACCTTATTTAAAAATATATGTAGTAGCTTTATAATAGTCGATATATATATATATATATATATATATATATATATATATCGACACGATAGGAAAGCGAAATCTGAAATGAAATATTTTTTAAAACAATGCTTGTTACGTATTGTGTACAGAATATTGACCAAATTGCAATCCGCGAAAAAATCGTTTTATTTAAAATTATATTCGCTAATTTTGTGTAGTAATAACTCGGGTCAACGTTTAGGATACCTTTTACTACAGGAAAATGTTTAATTTCCACGGGAAAACACAATAACTAGTTTTATAGAGTCGTCCTTAAAAATTTACATGGCTTAACACTTTTTTTTTTTAACGTTGGGAAATGCATTTACGCACGAGGTTTGGGACTCACCGGTAAAGCCTGTACTACCCACTAAAACCCAACAAAGCCTTCCCCCGTCTTAATGGGGCGTCGCAGGATCGCTTACGCATTCAACTACGACGCCCCGACGGCAGGTCTGCCAAAGCAGACCACAACAACCACGAGGTTGCTCCAAGGTCCACTCTGCTATCAGAGAAGTACCAGGAGCAACCCGCATGGTACACCGCCCTCCGAAGAGGGCCACCTCCCACCGCCCACGGAAGTGGGCCACCTCCCTGTGCGTTTCTTGGCTTCGCGCCCGGTTGGGTTGCCGGGCATTACTGAGCCCCCCCACCACGACAAGGTGAACGCACGTTGGGGGGGACATGGCTTAACACTAGCTTATCCTTAAGAGATACATCAAAACTATGTACTAGAAAATTGTAGATCTTAAAAAGTTCACAATAGCATATGTCTATCTTCTAAGGTACCTAGGGACGCAGTCGAAGCTGGGCTAAGTCGCTAGTATAAAATAAATTTTACGTAGAATTTAACCCTTCTTGTATGATTTTCAAGATGTTGTATAATATTATTTAATAAGCTCTATTACCTAATGGAGAGATTTTAGAGTTCCGTAGATACTTGTGCTACAGGTGCTTGAGAATGTTGAGAATGTATCTAAAATATATATTTTTTCTTACTTTATTATAATTTTTAATGTTATTGAAAGAATATACTAATATTTACCTCTTTCAAGTTATAACCATACAAATATACAAATGAGTACGATTTATATTCGTTATGATGACAGAAGACGGTATAAGAATAAAAAATGAAAGGCTTATATTAGGTTTTGTATAAATTAGAAGTACAGCCATACATACAATTGAGTCTCACAATTTAGGGTAATGTCAATATTAATGCCTCAACACACGTATATAATATATCGGTTAACCTTCGATCTTACAATCAACGTAACAGAATTTTAATGCTTAACTGTAGGTACCAGTATAGCGATCTATTTTTATGCCCTCAAAGAAATGTGTAATATGTGTATGGTAGGTAAATGATGATAGACGGTTGTCCTGGTCAACGTATAGGATAAAATATCTCATCTCTGAGAAATCTATACTGAACGTTAAAACGTAACTAGGGAAGAACCCGAGCAGGTTGCTAGTTAATAATAAGGTGGTAAAAAATATTGTTATTTTTTACAAAAGATGATTAGTTACATGCACATATTATATACATACCTACATTATTGTTCTGTTTGCAAAATGGGTAAGTGAATAGTAAAAAGATTTATGTTGTCGATTAAATAAAAATTTAATTGTTTTGTTTGCATAAATATGTTGGGAATGAATAAGTAAATAGTAAAAAGATTTAAATTGTTGATTTAAAAATTTAAAACTTAAAGAATAAGAAAAAGTTTTTTTTTTGTAAATAGTATTTTTTTTGTAAATAGTAAATTTTGTAGTAAATAGGACAAAACGTTGTTATTACATGATACTTTATTTATTACATTGAAGGGGTGTAGAACGGAATGGATTGTACAATGTAATAAATGTTATGTGCTCTCTCTCCCTCACTTACTGTCATGGCGGTGTGTGTTGTAATATATGAAATTGCTCTGATCAAAAATAAAATACTTAAAAAGAATCATCTCATCAAACTCATGAATTCTATCTAATTGATAATTTAAAAAAAAAACAATGGTTCCTCCATAATATTTCGAATATTGTATAAAATGTTCAATTAAAAAGTTGCCTCATCTTTCTTTCCACTGTTATTGACTTTGATAAAGTAAACAATAAAATTGATTTAGCTTGCTTTCCAGTTTCCATTATTATATAACGCTTATTTCTTTTGAAATTGTTATTCATCTTTATTTACTAACTATATAATATATAATTACTATCTTGGCAAGTTTTAGTACTAGAATTATGTACCTATATATATATATATATATATATATATATATATATATATATATATAATACAAGTGGTTCACCCTCGCTTCGCTCGGGTCCGTCCTTAGTGAAAACAAACACAAATCTATCCCTCAGAAACCGTATATTTTCCAGATTCATTTTTATATTATAGAAAGATATGTAAAGATACCTACAAGATACATACAACATAGACACTAACATATAACAGCTTTAAAAAGTTTAAAACTTGTTAATGTACTTTAAGAAAATGTTTTTTAATTTTTCTTTTCTTTCTTTTTTAGAATGGAAGTAGGAGTGCGGATAGTGGGCATCATCCTTCGTATACTAAATTTCTTACTCGCACCCATCTACTGGTTGCGATTACGCAACTCGCAAAAAGTACCACCGATAAAAGATAAGTTGTTATTACAAAGCGTTACGGACATCATCAAATCTATAAAGGATGGAAATGTAAGTATCGTAAATAACTTGATATTTGTATGTTTTATTGAATTCTTGTCAATAGTCATCCCTGTATCCCTTATCTCAGGGGGCAAAGCATGTTTCATATCTTTGTAATGAAAAAAAGGGAACAAAGGAATAATATATAATAATAATATAAAGATACATATGTCGCGATATTAACACAGCATTTGTAAGGTTTTGGTTGCGCAGCATTGGTTCCATGGTAAGCTACAAGGCTTGATATCAGATAGTTGATACACTATACATATATAACTTTAAATACGTACTTACATGTTACAAATATAAACACCCATGACTGGAGTACAAACTTTCGTACTCATCACACAATTGAATGCCCCCCGCGGGACTTGAACCCGCGACCGCTGGCACAACAACTAGGGTCACTACAAACTGAGCCGATGGTGTCGTCAATGTAAAGGGATCCTTTCACTAGGGAAAAAAGAAGTGGTATCACATAAATTTGTTTTTTTTTGCCATAACAAAAAGGAAAGAGACAGAAAATGTATTTCTTTTATTAAAAGGCGTTAACTTTGTTGTATTTTGCAAAGGTTACCACAATATTAAGTTAAAAAGTTATTAAAACAGGATGTGGATATGTTACTCCTGTATAATACACATCCAAATTCGATACAATACTTAGGTACGTATTGTTTTTTGTATACTAGCGGCTCACCCTCGCTTCGCTCGGGTTCGGCTCTGGACAAACAAAACAAATCTATCCCACGGGAACCGTACATTTTTCCGGGATGAAAAGTAGCCTATTTGTTATTGTGATGTATGAACTATATTATTGTAAAGTTTCAGGAAAATCCAATCAATAGTTTTTGTGTACTAAGCTGTACAAGTTACTATAGTTTTTTAACTATTCCACGGAAACTCTTTAATTTTCCGGGATAATAATTTCATTTAAATCGGTCTAATAGTTTCGGAAATTTTCCCGTACAAACAAACAAACAGACAAAGGAACAAAAAAATTGAAAAAAAACTGGATTTGTTCTATTTCTCTTCTTTCATCTCCCTGACTCGGTTTTTAGAATTTTTTTCTATGTACACACATTTGACCTCTACAGTTTTATTATATTATAGATTGTTCGTGTTGTATAAACATACCCACAATTCATATTTGAAATATTAAAGCGTTGCAAGAGTTGCTGTCATTATGTAAGCACTATTTATAAATCTAGATTAAATTCAATTCCAAAAGGGATTGGAACAGTGATTTATTGTCTGTAAATTTTATCTGATTGATTCTTCTTGTGAAGTTTCGGTAATGTTCAAGAGCATCATTTGTGATGTTATTTTTACAAAATTTAATTAACTTATTTTATCAAGAAACGTGTCTATTTTTTTGTTCATCAATCTCTATTATTTTGGAGCAGGTAATGTTTCTAATCATATCAACTGGGGAAAAGATCTTCTGTTATAGGAAGTGACACTTTTTCTTATTTAATAACTTATAATTTTTGAATTATTAATCATTATTACAGACAATATATTATAGAGTAGAATAGAATTTTGACGAAATAAACAATTTTTTATAAATACAATCAGTACACATTTTGAAATATCTTACAAAATCCTGTATTTATTTAAACAAGTGTCTGCGTTAAGTACATATATTTTCTCAATGAAACTTCTTTCTCATTCAACTGTACATTCAATTACCAATCAAAATTAATATCTAAAGAATTTATCACAGTTCAAAGCTTTAAGCTCTTAACTCTCTATCTGTTTCGATTATCTGCTAAGCTTTCCAGTTTCCACCATTAGTACGCTCTAGGGTCGACGGAACACGGAATTGGCAAGCGTTCCACATTGCACAATACGCCGCAATACAATCATTACCATATTGCTGTACAGGAATAAATAATTTTAATTGCAAGACGTAGGTTGCATTCAAAGGCTGATATGTTGAGAGTATGAGCATTTGCTATATAAATATATGTAAGTAGGTGGAATTCGCATCGGTTTAAGAGGTTCGCTGTGTCGTATGAATTTTTATGTTTCATTTGCTGTTTTTATTTGTGTGATGTAAACATTATCTGACATAAATTCTATTAGCACATTAAATCCTTCCAATAGGAATTTCTCCGAATGATCTTGTCAGAGACCTCCCCAACATTGTTTTTTTTTAATTAAGTACTAGCGATTTACACTCGCTCCGCTCGAGTTCGTCCATAGATTTTAACGTTTAAACGGTTAGACGTTTTAACGGTTAGTATAGATTTCTTAAAGATTTAAAACCTTTCAAATTGTGAACAAAACCCGCGTACGCAAGGACGTACCCGAGCGAAGCAAGGGTAATTCTCTAGCTCTTTATATAATTTAGAGATATCTCTCTTCAGATATCAAGTGAAGAAGTGGTATCCCGCTTCATAGCCAGGATACAAGAGGTGAACCCATACATCAATGCGGTGGTCGACGAGCGTTATCGCGCGGCATTGGACGACGCTCGACAAGTTGACAGATTGATATCTGAGGCTCGGACTAAAGGGGAAATAGAACAGCTGTTCGCCGAGAAACCTTTGTTAGGAATACCTTTTACTGTGAAGGAGAGTTGCTCTTTGGCAGGTGGGTGTCTTATATACTTAGATTTTTAGTTTTAGTTATTATTGGTAGAGATAAAAATCTAGTGTTCTTTAAAGTATGAAATATGACTTGTAAGAGACTTAGAATTAGCAATTATATGATGTGTTAAAATTAGTCATCATAATTTATTATGAATTAATCGAGTACAAAAGAGAATTATTTTAAGTTCTGGAATGTTTACACGTGTACCTGTCAATCGATAACCGTTTTCGAGTTGGATTAAAAAAAATATAGTTAATATTTTTAAACTTAGTTCTTTAAGGATACACGTATAGGAACAGAAAAAGTTATTTTTTAATTTAAGTAGTTATTATAATACACAATCGTGCCCATGCAAACATCGGCAACGCCAGGGCTGTCGAACGCGGTAGGATGCCTGGAGCACGCGGGGCGGCGCGCGCGCGGCGACGGCGCGGCGGTGCGGCGCGCGCGGGCCGCGGGCGCGCTGCCGCTGCTGGTGTCCAACACGCCCGAGCTGTGTCTGGGCTGGGAGACCGCCAACCTGCTGCGCGGCCGCACGCGCAACCCGCACCGCCTGGCCGCCACGCCCGGCGGCTCCTCGGGGGGCGAGGTATCTATGTGACCTTCTTTTTTGGACTTTTGCTTCTGAAATAAAATTATCTTGTTGGTTTTTTTCCGCGGATTTATTTTGATTTTTGGTTCCTGACGTTTCGGATGCTTTACAGCAATCGTGAGTTGACGGGAGGGACTAAGGTTTTAGACGTCTCAGTTTTAGAAGTAATTATATGTATTGTTGTTACTTAGCCATATAAATATAATAATTTTCAAGTATATACTAAAATGGCAACAAAATACCTGTTTTCCTTCACAGTAAGACAAAAGGCAATCATGTTGGAAATGATTCGCACCTGAAAATATCAGAGGTACGAGACCCGGGATTAGAACCCGCTTCCCTCGGTTTCCCAAGCGAGTGAAATATAGTAATTTTTAAATCTGAAATAATTTTAGCTAAAAAAATAAATGTTATCAGATAAAGTGACAATACGTTAAAATAAATACAATAATTATGAACACGTGCAGGCACAAAAGACATGTGTTACGCGATCTCGTAAATGTATTTATTCTCTACATACTGTAGGCAAACTATTATGTCATAGGATTCCGAGAGTTACTTTTCACCGACTTAAAAAGGAGTTATTACAGTTACGTGTATTTTATGTGACCTATAAACTGATGGAAAAATTAAAAAAATCTCAATTCAAATATAAGTATTTTTACAGACATACCTACATGTTATTTAATGTACAACTTCATGAGTTTAAAGGAGCCCGGTTTTTTAGGGGTTGCGTGGTGTCAAAGTGTGAAACCCCCTTACAAAATAAGACGTTGAAATACTGTGAAAAATATGAAAAAGTCAATAGCACATCAGTAAAGAATCTCTATGTAGTCTAAAAAGTTCTTCAGGACTATTCGATGAGACCGAAATTCTGTCTTCTCCACGTTGGACTATTGGATGAGACTATGCTTTCTCCATATTGGTACTACCACCTAAGGTGAATATTGAAGATGGTGATGGGTGACCTGTCTTTTACGTAGATTATTTTTAAATTTTATAAGCATTTGCTAGGCTCGATCAAGAAAATTTTAATGTTATAATATGTTATATGAAGATAAACTCTAAATCACACAAATTGAATAGGTACACAATGACATAAACAATGTTCCGTTAAACATTTACTGTGGGTGACGCTATCACATACATACTCGTATGTTAGCCAACAACAGGACAATAACGCTTTAGCATAAAATATAACGCTCATACGTTTCTAACTGATTTTTAAACAATGAAGTAGAGAGAGATCTCGATTATACTTTTAGTACTCCGTATTTTTTATTGTTGGGACATTAACACACAGCGCCATCTAGTTCCATGGTAAGCTACGAGGCTTGTTTTATGGATACCAGATAGTTGATACACTACACATATATAACTTTAAATACATACATATTATAAATATAAACACCCATGACTGGAGTACAAACATTCGTGCTCATCACACAAACGAATGCCCCCAGCGGGACTTGAACCCGCGACCGCTGGCACAGCAAGTAAGGTCACTACCAACTGAGCCAAACAAGTCCTCAAAAAAAAAAATTGATCAAGTGATTAGAATCGCTTTACTTTAAAGGAAGGTGTTCTTCTAAGATAATCCTTTGACTGTGTTCAAAATTTACGTATAGTTCGGATATAAGTCGTCGGTGGATGGTACTACCTAATACCTATTAATATCATCGTTGTGTTATTTTAAATTCAAGTTTACTTACAAATATTGTAAGGTACTTTATTGTCATTTTTCAATATTTTGAATTCATTTTGTTATTTTGTGGGTAGGCTGTCTGTAACAACTATATAATACCTTTGAGACATCTGACACCTTAGTCTCTCCCGTGACCATGATGCTGTAAAGCATTCGAAACGCGTCGGGAACGAAAACAAAATAAATTGGCAAAAAAATCCAAAAAGATAGTTTTATTTAACATTTCAATTATTTTTTAAGCATCACTGGTTACGCTATTAATTGATAATTTTCATTAATTCATCATTTTCTTATAGATATAAAATTTTCCAAAATGTATTGTTCTTATATATTACTTATAGTTTCGTCCGTAAATACGTTTAACGCTTAGTATAGATTTTTCAGAAATGAGATATTTTCCCTAATAACGTAAGGCTTTAACACTTTAGCAGGTATATAAGGAAAAAAAAACGTTGAAAAATAGTAATTTTTTTATTTCTGCCTTGTTGTGACATCTTATCGAAAATATTCTTTATATAAATTTCATCAAAATCAGTCCAGTAGATTTCTCGTGATGCGGTAACAGACAGACAGTCAGACAAAAATTCTAAAAACTATAGTTCCGGACTCTGTATCGATAATAATGTCTATTTCAATTAGATTTTCCAAAAAATGTTTAATGTACAGATTTGACTTAGTTACAATCTATACTAATATTATAAAGAGGTAAAGTTTGTGATCTTGTGAGTTTGTGAGTTTGTGAGGTTGTAGGGGGTAATCTCTGGATCTACTGAACCGATTTTCAAAATTCTTTTACCAATAGAAAGCCACGTTCTTTCTGAGTGTCATAGGCTATATATTAACCCGAAAAATGGAAAGGCTTTTTCGTGGTAGTCGGATTTGCAAAGTAAGTCGGAGAAAAAACGGTCGAACGAAAACGTTTCTTACGAACGCTGCCTTAACGATGAGAGATATATGATTATGTTCTAGAGAAAAGTTGTAGAGCTTAATAATGCCTACAAAAAAGTCAGCGACAGCGTATGTCTAACTTTTATATTTAAGTCACAAAAAGTAGTTTTTTATATTAAAAAAATAATTTAAATCGGTAGGTCATGTTTATTGGTCATATTATCAACAGTTATGAATTCTTATCAAAATAAGTAAATTTATCGTCTAAAATGTTTAAAATAAAATACTTTTCCCTTTTACTGCATATAATTTGGACAAATGGTTAAAGAGATAATACAACATATTCGTATGTATGGACGAACCCGAGCGAGCTGTTTATGTTTTTCTCTTTGTACGGGCTAATCTCCGGATCTATTGGACCTATTTAAATGAAATTTTGCATGGTGGTACCTTATATTCCCGGGCAACATCTTAGATACTTTTCATTCTGGAAAATTAAAGGGTTCCCGTGGGATAGTTAAAAAACTATAACAACTTATACATCTTAGTACACAAAAACTACTGATTGGATTTTAATGAAACTTTACAATAATATAGTTCATACATAACAAAAATAAATCAGCTACTTTTCATCCCGGAAAATTAAAGAGTTTCCGTGGGATAGTCAAAAAACTATAGTAACTTATACAGCTTAGTACACAAAAACCACTGATTGGATTTTGATGAAACTTTACAATAATATAGTTCATTCATCAGAATAACAAATAGGTAACTTTTTATCCCGGAAAAATGTACTTTTCCCGTGGGATAGATGTTTTTGTTTATTTGTAACGTATTATGTACACAACATAGACCCCAAAACAATAGTTATTAAAAAAAATGTCTGTTTGTCTGTTTGCCTGTATGTCTATTTGTCTGTTTTCATTCCGGAAAATTAAAGAGTTCCCGTGGGATAGTTAAAAAATCATAGTAACTTATACAGCTCAGTACACAACAACTTATGCACCTAATTTAATAAAATTTGGCATGCTGATACCTTATATTGCAGGTCAAACAACAGGTTACTTATTTTTATCCCGTAAAAATGAACGTTTCCCGTGGGATAGATCTGTTTGTGCTTCTCTAGAGGTGAACCCGAGCGAAGCGAGGGTGAGCCGCTAGTTTTATTATAATTCGTTGGCTCATTATTACAAGGTTCTATGTTAAAATTTTAGTATTTATTTATTTATTAATGCTGCAAGGTTCTATGTGTCATTAGCTACAGTTTTAAAAAAAATTACATTGAAATTTACATAGTTCTATGTTATTTTTTTTACGTTAACAAAATAACGAAGTTCTATGTAAAAATTACTAAACTTTATTAAAATTGACATAGAACCTTGTAATCGTGGGCCAACGAATTTATGTATATAGATTTCTGCAAAAACTTTTTGATATTCATGAAACTAGGGAAATATAATCTTCAAAATACATATAATAACCATTTTTTTTAAATCAAAATGTTTATCCGTTTATTCCTTCCTTTCTTAGACTTCAAACTCCTCTAAAAAGTATATTTATTTATTTGGCTTTGGGGGGGTCATGACTCCCCCCCTGGATCTGCGCTTGCTTAGCACACACTTAACACTAATGAAGGTCATAACATTGCTTACAACTGACGTTTTTCTTATTTTATATGATTGAACTATACTCTTTATAATTCTATTGCATACTTTTTATTACCATTATTTCGATTTCTAAAATATACTAGATAAAATAATACGCAAAATCTCGTTCTAAAAAATATATAGTCGAAGTTAAATTGTAGAAAACGTTAGTTTTTATTTGATTCCGTATCCGTCCGGTATGTACTAGTGGTTTGTATGTGTGTAATGTGTATCCTTTGTACCGAGGACAATGAAATTAATAAACCAACAGTCGAGTCAAGGTTGTGTATGTTGATTGAATAAATGATATTTGTTGATTTTTTTTTATATTATGTATATGAAAATTGTATGGTTTAGGTGTTGGGGTGGCTCGTCCTGGGTGACACCTGATTGTCTCATCTAGATCTTAGCTATAGTTGAATCTATATAAATATTAAATATATAGGTAGCGGGTCGGTTACTTATATAACCGACCCAAACTTAAATTCTTCAATATTCCAAACTATAAGTATATATTTAAACATTAATCTTAATGGGATATTAGCACTGTATGCCGTGAAACAGGTCTCTTCTAGTACGGCAATAGATAACTATATAATATTCTAGTGATCATAACAAAATACTTATTATAATTCATTATATATAATTGTATTGTATTCAGCCCTTTTTAAACGTCCCACTGCTGGGGGTGAGCCTCCCTTCAATACGAGGAGGATCAGGCCAAAGTCCACCACGCTGGCCAAGTGCGGGTTCACGGACTTCACATGTCTTTCGAAAACTTGCTAGGGTTCTACATGTTTTTCAACTATATTATGTATATGTTTAAAATAAATGATAATTAAATATTATAACGATGACTACACAGGCAGCGCTGCTCGCGTGTGGCGCGACGCCGTTCTCCGTGGCGTCGGACATCGCGGGCTCCATCCGCATACCGGCCGCCTTCTGCGGCGTGTACGGGCACAAGCCCACGCCTGGTGAGACACTGCACTATGCACATTGTACATTCTACACTTTCATTTGATATAAATAAATATGTTGGGACATTAACACACAGCGCCATCTGGTTCCATGGTAAGCTACGAGGCTTGTGTTATGGATACCGGGTAGTTGATATACTACACATATATAACTTTAAATACATACATATTATAAATGACGAGTCCGGACTTGAATCCGCGACCGCTGGCACAGCAAGTGGTGTCACTGAGCCATACGTGTCGTCAAATTTATAATTATAAGGTTTATTTTTTTAATAATATTTTTACCAAGTTTAAAAATTTATTTTACATTTTAGTTAACATAAATATACATTACATATTATTCAGTATTAATTTTATTATTGTTCACTGCCTGTGTAATGACAATAACAACGGTTACCATGACAACATGTTCTATCTCATTCTCTTGTCGGCTTCATCATATATATTTATTTGTTGGTCTCTTTTTAGTGTCGCATTTCCGTTTCATTGAGTTTCAAATCACAATGATTCTAAATAAGTTTCATTTAAAAAAACTAACAACACCTGCCCCCTCCCCCACCGCCAGGTATAATCTCTATCGAGGGGCACATCCCGACGCTGTCGGACGAGAACTACGCGCGGCTGCTGACGGTGGGCCCCATGGCGCGCCACGCCGCCGACCTGGCGCCGCTGCTGCGCGCACTCGCCGCGCCCGCCGCGCTCGCCGGCCTCGGCGACCCCGTCGACATGGCCGACTTGACGGTACGTGGATATATACCTATACATATACACTAGCAAGCACAGACACATCTATTCCGGGATAAAAAGTTGCCTGTTGTTTGACCGGAAATATAAGGTATCGGCATGCCAAATTTTACTAAATTAAGTGCATAAGTTGTTGTGAACTAAACTGTATAAGTTAATATAGTTTTTTAATTATCCCACGGGAACTCTTTAATTTTTCGACGTGAAAAATATCTAAAATGTTGACCGGATATATAAGGTACCGCCATGTAAAATTTTATTTAACTCGGTCCAATAGTTTCGGAGATTAGCCCGTACAAACAGACAAACAGAAAGAAAAAAAAATTGCAAAAAATCTGTATTTATTCTACCTATTTCTCTTCTTACATCCCCTTGACTCGGTTTTAAGCAATTTTTTTTCTATGTACAGACATTCGACCTCTACAGTTTTTTTTTATTTGTACCTATAGATTAGATCATACACATTGTCACGAGTACCAGGGTAGCATACACACCGAGCAAACGTACTGCGTACATGTTGACGCTCACCGAAGGAAAGCCTGCACCGTGCACAGAGTGCACGCGGATTTCTTACAACATACACTCCTCAACACTTATGATCGCCTGGTACTTCTGATACGAGTACTAGGGCTTCACAAACCTCAGGGGAACATTCATTTCATTCCCCCGACATTCATTCCATGCCCCGTCTTATGAGTGCATTGGAACTACTTAACACTTATGCTCGCCTGGTACTTGTGCTGACGTCGCACGAGGTGCTCTCCGTAAATAATAAAAAGTGCGTGATGGTCACAATTTATATTCCACTTGTTCCCGTCCAACTATCATTCGCTCGAGTGTGCGGTGTAACGTGCCATGAGGAACTTTGTTTCAATACAACATTCGCTTAAATCTAAGAAAGTATTATGATATTATTATGTTTTAGTATTATGTAAATATGTCGTTAAACTCGTCTATTTATCTAAATAGCAGATATGCCTTTTAGTTAAGTATAGATATATATTGTAGTGAGTAGTGGATATGTAAGAATTAAGAATGATAATATATTTCTATCTGTTTATGGCATTTAATTTTACTGAGACCATTAAAATGGTAGCAGCGAAAAATGGTAGCAGCTGCAGCGAATACGTGCACGCAGTTTACTGCGCTTGATGAGTCTGTCAACTTCTCATTGGCAAATTTTATAAGTAGGCTCGATAAATGTATTGTATGTAATAAAATACATGATTTGTCTTTTAACTTTCAAAATTTGATGAGACACTATCAGTGAGAGATCAAAGACTCTCCGAAAAGTGAGGTTGTGGATGTTAAATAATTAGAAATAATGAGTAACTTAAGATTACATAATATTTTCTTTTTAGAGACTAAGGTTTTTAGACGTATCAAAGATCATTATGTAGTATCGACAGTAACTATATAATGACCTTATTGTACTTTATATAGTTTTCTTTTTTAAAGAAATATATGTATCTATAGGTATGCTCACACCAGCGCGCTTTTTGTTCATCTTTTTTAAGGCATTTTATTATTGCAATATTTTGCATACTCTTGACGAATTGAAAATTGAAGACGCAAGATGAACATGAAAGCGCACTGGTGTGGACATACCCGTAGCTTAGTGTCCGGCGTGCGTAGGTGTACTACATGACGGAGGCGACGCGGTCGGCGGCGCTACTGCGCGTGCACTCCGGCGTGCGGCGCGCCGTGCGCCGCGCCGCGCGCCACCTGCGCGACTGCGGTGCCACGCTAAGCGAGGTGCGTTATATATGATGATGATGATGATGTTCTCCAGACCGATTCCGGTCACGGCGGCCAATCTCATTGAGACTAGCCAACTGCGCAGGAGATATTATAGTGCTCAAGTATACGCGCAGACACAACTGCACTCTCTATTCCTGTCACTCTCATACTCTGGTGGGACGACTACTCGACACGACCGGTGAGAGTTAAGGCGCAGGACCGACGGCTTTACGTGCTCTCCGAGGCACGGGGGTGAAACACCGCCAACTTCCCAACTCCGGGCTATTACTGAGACTTACTATACAGAAAGACTCAATAACTAAACTTGGCCCGACCCGGGACTCGAACCCAGGACCTCCGGTGTGCAGCCGTACATGCTAGCCACTACACCACCGAGGCTCGTTATATATATACCTCCCCGCGCTATACTAGCACTGTATAAATATTTGTAATAGGAAATACCAGGGCTCGGAACTGATTTAAAAAAAAGTTTATTTAATATTATGGTTAATTCATCGCCCGTTCTTTTACCGGTCAATCTTTCTTAGAGAAAGGTTAGATTTCGGTTTTGATACCGAAATAAACCGGTTAATTCATCCATAAGTAAGAAACGTACATGCATCCTTCTATTAAGCTATTAACCATTAACTAAGACGCGCCAAATATAAACGCACAAAAACTCATTTTAACCGGATTAATTTTGGTCATGGAACCTAAATTCGTCAAAAATTCTCCCAGATTTAACCGGTTAAAGAACGAGCCATGGTAAATACAATAGACAATCACTCATTGATTTTAACGGAAATGCTGTCAAATGCGAGGATTGTCAAAAATATCAATTTTTATGGCGAACGGTTTCGAAGCTAAGGCGTTGTAGTGACATCTCATGTCAAGTTACATATCGACTTAGGGTTGCCATTTTCCGACTGTCGTTTGAAGTGAGTATGACGTCGGGTGCCTCTTCGTCTCCCTCATCACTCCGCAAGATTGGTGTTTCTAGACGTCTTCAGAAAATTATTAAATATTAAAACTTATTAAATCCTTTCAGCGTAATTATTTAATCTGAAATACAGTAACACAAACGATGTACTCGACTGAATGTACCACTTTAGTATAATTTATTCATGGACTAATTAATTAAAGTATAAATAAATTCCTAATTTCATTTTTTTAACATACGTTAAAATTGCTTGCAGGAGAAATTTACAGAATTTGAGGATTCAGTGGAGATGTCAGTGTCGGTGTTCTTCTCCATGAAAGACATTCCTAACATGCTTCAAGATCCAGCTAATCCAAAAGTAAGTTAACATAATATATAAATAAGTTTTTTTTTTGATAAAAACTTTTCTACTATATCCTTCCCAGTGGTCTCAAACTATCTTCTTTTCAAATTTCAACTAAAACTCGGTTTAGCGGAATTTTAGTTTATCCATTATAAATAAACATAATTTTTTTCTCTTTATAATATGTATTAGTATAGAATATAGATATTGTATTGTTTCTTATTGTTAGAAGATGCTCTTATAGCAGAATCGAATTTAAATTTAAACATACGTAAACCCAAAAACGAGATCATTTATCTCACACAAAGAAAAACAAATTACGTTTAAAATACCTATACGTGTCTGTATGCTTAACATATATATATGTACGTGTTGTTATTGTATGAGCGTTATTTGTGTGTGCAGCACGAGCGCAGCCTGGCGTTGGAGCTGGCGAAGCTGTGCGCGGGCTGCGGCACGCGCTCGTTGCAGGCGCTGGGCTTCGCGCTGCTGCGCCGCCACCGCCTCGGGCTGTCGCGCGCCGCGCTGCCGCGCCACGCCGCGCGCGCCGCCGCGCTCGCCGCCAAACTGAGCACCCGGCTGGCGCGCGGCGTGCTTATATACCCGGCGCACTGCTCGCTGGCGCACGCGCACGGCGCGGTGTTCGCGCGCGCGTCAGGCGTGGCCTACTCCATGCTGTTCAACGTGCTGGGGCTGCCGGCCACCGTGGTGCCCGCCGGCATGCACGACGGCCTACCGCTCGCGTTACAGGTGCACCTCCTACTGGCTTATGCCGACCTAGTACCACCGCGGTCTGCCCTAGCTGTGCAGTTACACCTCCTACTTGTTCCACCCTATTTAATACCACATGTATATTATACGCGTGACAACTTACTCCACCCTCTTGCTATCTTATGCCGTCCTAGTAACTCACTACAACCAGTCGATACCACCAAAATAGGGTTTCAAAAAAAAAGTTTAAAATAGGCTCTAAAGAGTACAACTCTACGCATACACCAATAATTGTAAATTAAAAAAAAACCCTACTTAAATGACAATTAATTTAATTGTCATTTAACGATTACACTGGCACGCGTGAAGCACTTAACCTAATCGAGTAATCATACGCCAAAATGCCTTACATTATTTTGGAAAAAAGCTGACACTCTTACACTGCTGGACCGATATTAACCAAACATCTAACAGCTAAAAACCACCGCAAGGAAACTGGCTTTCAAATAAGAAAACCGCATCGAAATCGGTCCATCCGTTTAAGAGCTACGATGCCACAGACAGACACACACACACAGACAGACATCGACGTCAAACTTATAACACCCCTCTTTTTGCGTCGGGGGTTAAAAAAGATATTACTTGTGTAAACATTTGTTTCAGCAATTTTTTTGGTTAATAAAGTTTTGCATTTTAATTGTTTTTTTTTTATATTGCATAGATAAATAAACTATTTTTTTTTCTACAGATCATCTCAGCACCAAATCAAGACAGATTATGTCTCGCCGTAGCGCAGGAACTGGAGAAGTGTTTCGGAGGCTGGCATCCTGCATAAAAAAATATATGTATATAAATTATAAATATATGTATATAAATTATAAACATATAAAAACACTGTTGGAATAATTTTATATATATGTATACCTGTACCTAAGTGTTATGAGGCTCGCGTTTTTCTTTATGCCTTGGTGTTTAGTCAAATTGAAAACAGGATCGGCTTAGCGCCATATTGATTGTTGTGACATTTGGTATGGTGTGCAAAAAAAAATTTATTGAATAAAATTTCATCTAATGCAAAAAATATAGTTTTACCGCAGTAATGTTGTTTATTATATTGGAAACGGACATATATGTAAATAGGAAATTATTTTAATTAACACAAAATATAAATTAAACATAGTTATATTTAAGTCTCCAACTGCGTGATTGCTTAAAACTTTATAATATCAATAATATTATTAGTAGAATCAATAATATTAGTTTAAAAACGTAACTACTATTTAAATCATGGTTAAATAAAATTATTTGTTTTGTCAACCGTACTAATATCAGAAAAGATCGCGCAAAGCTGTTCGAAATCGTGACACGAATTTTAAAAACGACCATATTTGGAACTAATAAAACTAATTTACTGCTAAAAAGAAAATACATAGAAAGTACAAATATATTTATTTATATTATACCAAAAAATTGTATAGGTACTAAATTAACTACTTAACAGTAACGGCTCTATTTCAAAACGGACTAATTTAATGAAATATCAAATAATGAGTTGGTTCTGTAATTTGCCGATAAAGAATCTAAAGCTAACATGGAAATCGCAGTAAATCGTTTACTCAATAACAATTATTTTATTATTCCTCTCAAAGCTTAATTTAAAAAAAAATGCAACACTTCGTAAAAACGCGAACCTCATATATTATATTATATAAGCGTCTATTAAAATAGCTAAATGATAGAAAGATGAATGATAAATTTTCGGTTCTATCATTTAGTTTTCTATATATACGGGAATAAGTTAAAATAAAGTTAAAATAAGTAGTTTAAGATGGAAATATCCATGTATTCAAGATTTAATATCAGGTTTTGTATGAAATGTGAATAAGTGTGACATGTGAATAGGGAATATGCGTTATTTTTTTAATTTTCTATACATAGCTTACATCGTTATATAATTGTTAAAAAAAACCATAAAAATTAAATTCAATATCAAGGAAATTTTTAAAATATCATACTGATAGGTACGGATACTTTAAACGCCCGCCATACCGCGCGCTTAGCGTGACGTCATAGTATGATATACACAGAAATGACGACTCAGTTTGTAGGCGACAAAATCGCGAATTGCTCTGTTATGGTATGCTCTGACGTCATTCGGTTGGCGTGCGTTTCAACTACTTTGAACTTAACAAAATTATTTTCTTAATAAAAAAGAAATCACATTAAAAAATATTGATATAGGCTTAATCAAAAGCACTAAAGATTATAAAAAAAATCACCTTTATTTAAATCACACGCATATTTCCTATTAAGCAAATTGTTGGGCAAAGGCACCTTCCCATATCAATGTTCATTTGGACATAAGTTTGTATAAAGTATTTATTTTTAAAATTTAGCAAATATTATATAGATACTTCATATTTTGTATTAAATAATTTTATATCTCAGAATAAAGAATTATGTATACAGAGTCTGCCAAAATAAATGTCAAAGTCAAAAATAATAAAGTGGTGGGTAAGGGTTTGCTCTTCTATAGGTACTGCTTTATTCTCGTTTTTCTGTTTCATGCAGATCGTTTACTTTCTTTAAACGAATATGGAAAATTTTCATATGTTCAATTATATTACGATTGTGTGTCGTCCGTTAACTTCTGATACCTTATAACTACGATTTTTACGCAAAGCTTTATTTCAATGACAAATTCCGATTAAAATAAAAAACAACATAATACGAACTGCATTTAATTATAATACCATAAAAAAACCTAGGTAAATCCTTGACCACTTATTTGTTTTACCAAAATTCCCCACGAAAATATAATTAAGTTAATATGTTACCCCTGCAAAAATGTGTTGGTAAGTAGATAGCTGAAAAGCTTAGAACTACACGACATTGACGAAGTAATCTGTGTCCAACTAGTACGCCTAAAAACAAAGAATTAAATCAGTCTCTCCCGTGACCATGATTGCTGTAAAGCATTCGAAACGTCGGGAACCAAAAATCAAAATAAATTCGCGAAAAAATCCGAAAAGATAGTTTTATTTAAAATGTCAAGTATTCGCGTAAATCTAAGAAAGTATTAATTAAATTGAATTGAAGATCTTAGAAGTTCACGGATGATATACAATTTTAGAGAATTAAAAATCAATTATAAAAATAATACCTACTATATTCTTTTGTATTTTCTATAAGTTCTCTTTAATTAGCTTATTTATATATTTTTTTTATTTTTTATAATAAAACCCATTAGCTATTTTTGTTTAAATAACAGTTATTTGCTTATCTCTCAGTATACAAATTGGCCTCATGTTTAGTTCTATGACACTCTGCCTATATTATTCCTTAATCTGAATTTTATATATAGAAGCAAACATTAAAATATAAATGATTACAAAAATATATATAATATATGACTCCTTAAGGCTCATTATACAATGCTAGTTGTATAAATAAATAATATGAGTGACACTAGAAAAGCAAGTTTAAGTAAATAATTTATTATGTTATATACTTTGTAAACAATAATTGTTGAATGTAATTATTGCATATAATTTATGCAATAATGTCACTGAGTAAATGAGCATAAATTAATTTTAGATTATACATTGAGTCAGGGAGCGTGATACTACAAATACTTTGTGTTATTTTTTTTAATTTCCTCCACCGTCCTCTATACCATCTTCCTCTTTAACTACCCGTAGTATATGCCAAGACACTCCCCCTTCCAACCCCGCATTAAGTTGTCATGTAGTAATGCTTAATTAAGGTTATAAATCAATTTTTGCAAACAGACAGTTAAAAAATATTTTGGCCCATATTTGTCTTTATTAATACGGCACATACCGCGTGACGTTAACGGTGAGTTTTATAGCCCGAAAAAGAGCGAAGAGAATATTAACTACCTCCCCCCCCCCCATATCGTGACCGTATCGGTATTTTTAAGACCCACCTCACCCCCTTAACGGGTCACGTAGTATGGGCACGTTCCCTTTAAATCTACAATATATAGAAGGAAGTTAAGTTATAGTGAAGCCAATTAAATTGGTGTTACAAATAAATTGTATCATTTTAAATATAACTGTAAATATTCTTCTTAGTGTTATTGTTTGGTTTACGACTTTTTTATATTAAAATGTAATGTTTTTGACTCTTCAATCTGAATGTGCTGTGAAATATATACTAAACGTTTTGAAACGTATTTGTAACATACATGTTCTTTAACTGAAATATACTTAAATACATAAATAAAAAATATCTCATTTCAAGTTACTTCATTTTAAGTTTTCCATATTGTGAACAGAACGACGTCACAGAAAAATCAAATCGCGTGAAAACAAATGAATCACTAAATTCGAAACACAAAAACACAATCCTTAATTTGAAATAAATTTAAATTTGGAATTCCTAATCAAACGCCAGACATTTGAAATCAAAGTGGCCAGTTCGACAAAACTAAAAACGCCAATTTCATAATAATATGTGAGAAATGGAGTGTGAATAGTCTCCTGAATGTGCGAGTGTGAAACAGTGGATATTTGGCTTCTCAAAGTTTAATTTTTACTTTTCATTTTATTAATGGGGAAGAATTTTTCCTTCTTCTCCCGTCAGATATCACGATCATTATGATCACAGATTAAGTATTAGTTACTACGTAATTATGATCCTCCGTGTATTGCAAAGCACTATAGCGTGGACGGATTGTTTTTTATTTTATTTAAAATTTTATTAAAATGACATATTGTGCAGTGCTAAGACGCAAAGAAAATGGATATCATTTGTTCCCAAAAGACAAAAACTGAAGAAATTGTGGCTAAAACAATATGACGACCAAAATTGACGAAATCACAATCTTTATATTTAAGGCTATGTTGACATCATTTTCTAGAAAGTGATTTTAAAACGCTTATATCGTTTACGGATGAATATTTTTGTTATTTTTTGTAAGTACTTTTTTACACATTAATTACAGAGTTTCATACAAACTTTCATCCTACATTTTACACTCTTATGGGATTGACTTTCAAAAAAGGCTAATACTCGTTACACATATGTATTTAATTGTATTGAAGAGCATTAATACCAAGTTCTACGACCAGTGATTTAGGCTGTGTGTTCATCCGTCAGTCAGTGAGGACCATCACAGGATACACTTATCCTTTTTATTTTTTCCTTCAGCTGGTCTGACTTCCAGGTACAATACATTGCACAGGTAAGATGCGAACATAATAGAAGCAAAAACCAGGTACAGAAGGGATATCTCATAACATAATAAATTGCTTAACCTCTGACTAAATGTAAATAGATCATACGTGTAGCGCCCTCCTTTCAATAAATCTTTCCCGTTTCATTTTAAAATTACCTAAAAAATATTTTTTTAAACAACTAAATCTAAGAGTAGTAATGATGTTTGATGGACTCAAATAAAACTTTTGTTACTTTGTCAATTTTTTACTAAGTCGTAAACATAAAATGCAACATTTCAACTTTAAAGATTTTATTTTTATATTAATTTAAGTAGTATTATGTTCACGTAAGTTTTATGTCACAAAAGATTACTGTATTATATTTTGCAATATGTTCCTTTTTATATATTTTAATAAATTATAGTTTTCGACATAAGTTACAATAATATTTAAAACTGTTATTTGTAAAAGAATAAATGGCAACACCGCGTTCTAAATGTAACGACGTTCTCAGCGCGTGCGAGATGACGCGCCGGTGAATTTTTGTATTTTAGAAATTGACGTCATTTTTGTGTGTACGCATTATTTATAAGGTGAATTTATTTCCTATTTACCTTTAAAAGTTGGTTTTAATCAAATATTTAGTGAAAGTGAATTAAAATTGTTTTAATGCTATTGCAGATTTCACAATGGCCGATCAAGTTGATTCAATGTCAGACGCGGAGCTCCGCACCAAACTGGCCGAACATGGGTTCCCTATCATGCCAATTACAGCGTCTACGAGAAAGTTACTAGTAAAAAAGTTAAAAATGGTATTAGACAACAAAACCAAGCCTCGAAATAGTGTTGACGCCAAAGTTGAAAGTAGACGATCACTAGCGAGGTACTCGAGCGGAGAAGAATCTGATTTAGAGTCTAATAACGCAAAAGAAAGACGGGGTCGGCGTGCCACCACTGGCGGAGCTATGCTCCCTCCGGTTACTAGTAAAGCAAGGCGAACTCCAGTCAAAAAGGATTCTCCTCTAAAACGTGACGCCGATAAAGGCTCAGAGTCGGAGGACGAAAAGTCGCCAGTTCGAACACATGAAGAAGTTGAAACAGTTACAACTCGACGGATTACACACACTTACGCGACCAACGACCAGGATGATTATGAAACTGGTTCCGATAGCGATGTTGACAATGATAAGAAAACGTCCAGCCCCTTTAGGAGTAGCTCGAGGTCTAGTGATTATATATCTAGCACACTACCAAGTAATAACGCATCCGCAAGCCCGCCCAAAACGTCTCTTTTCTCTCGTCCATCTTTATCTCAAACAAACTACTCATCTTTGTCGTCATCAGATCAACTGAATTCTATTAGGTCTAGACTTGGCTTAACTTCCTCTTTAGCAGATCGACCATCATTCAGTAGTTACACACCAAGTTACTCTACTAGTATATACCAGCCTTCCACTTCAACAATAGACGAAGTAGAATCTCCATATATGAGCAATTTTACTAGACGACTATCATCTCTTAAACCCGAACCTCCAAAACAAACTACATATTTAGATAGAGACACAACTAATGGAAGCACATTGATGCCACGAAGATCCTATATTACAGGTGTATCTAGATCTGACATAGTTGACTACAAAGCAGCCAATGATAAAAAGTTCTTGAAAAACAATTTAGTTTCGCTTGCCCTTGTTGCTCTTGTTGCACTTTTTTTTTTTTGCCTATTTTTTATGTATATAGTTAAGAAAAATGACATCACCTCAGTGGTTGATGATCAGAATAGTGTAATACCAATATGTCAATTAAATATTCCTGGTAATAGACCAGGAATAAATTGTGTCCCAAAAGAACATGTCAGCTACGCTAAAGATTTACTAAAAGTTATACATCCTGAACTAACAGCTCGGTCTGCAGCATATAAGTGTGGAAAGCCAGGTGCTTTACCTTACCTCACAGAAAGAGAAATTATTGACTTAGCTAGTGCTCGAGCTGACACTGCTGATGTCAGCCAATGTAGGACAGACCTGAATAATTTGCAAGTTTTGCTAGTTCATAACCCAAGATGGGGTTTGAATGTTGTTCAACTTAAGAATTTGTACACAAAAGATGCTGCATACACACCTCTCACATCCACTGATGTAGTCGTCCAACAACGCAATAAAGGCACAGTCGCATTGGCACTTTCTGATCCATCAACCCCTATTTCGTGTCTGTTTGTTAATACTTTATACTCAGCCGGATCGACATTTATTGTTATAGGAATTTTGTCAATACTAGTATTGGGCTTGCAAAGGTTTTATAAGTACTATGTGAATTATCAAAAAAAGAAAAGTGAGGAGATTTATTCTATGGTAGAACAGATAATTGATGTTATATCGCAAGAGACTGAAGACAGTGGGGTACCATACATATCCGTCGACCACGTTAGAGATGCGCTAATATCGCCTCAAAACAGGGAGAAGATGAGTTCGACTTGGGATGCTGCTGTTAAATTTATTCAAAAGAATGAAAGTAGAGTTAGGATGGAAGTACAATCTGTTGACGGAGAAGATTGCAGGGTGTGGAGATGGATAGCGTCGCACAGCAGCCCGAAAAGAAGTACCTCATGGCAAGGTCAGGCTTTCGAAACCCAGGAGGGTTCAGTCAACAACTTAACCGTTTCACCGACGCCATGTTTGAAAATTCGTCACATGTTCGAAAAAAATGATGCAAATCCGAATTTAAGAACAGTCATTCAAGACGTTATTTTAGAGAAATGCGACCGCTGCAACATTCTCCACATCGACATTGAGAGGACATCTTGTTGTGTGTACGTGAAGTGCGCGACGCCGGCCGACGCGGGGGTCGTGTACAAGAGCCTGCATGGGTGGTGGTATGAGGGCCGCTTGATCACAGTCAAGTACCTACGCTTAGAAAGATACATGCAAAGGTTTCCCAACTCGCCCTCCTCTGGCTCTTACCTAAAGTCATCACGCTCGCGACGATCCTGGGATGAATAAAACTGAAGCCTTTCATACAAAAAGTTATATTTGGAAAATATTTATTACGTACAAAATTTTAGACTATATTTTAATTTCTTGTTTTTGTGTTCTTCAAAGGATTGGTTCTAATTAACAAAAAAAAAAATATTTTTAATGTTACAAGTTTTTGAAAATGCTCATTTAGAAGCAGTCCTTTGTTTTAATATGTGGATTAAGATTATAATAAATAGTTTGCATAATAGTGTTCAGTTGGCCGAGTGTCAATTGGTAGAGGTATCTATATGCAAGCTTTGAGGTGAACGTTCTTGAATTCATTAAAGAAAAATATATAATTTAAATATTTGTTATAAAAATTATATACCTATCTTATCAAAAAAGTAAAGGTCACATGAGAATCTCAAGTCCATTTTAGATTCTCTATTTTAAACTAAACTGCCTTTGGAGAAATATTTTTCAATTCAAATGAATTCAAAATCGGCTGCCTTGAGTAAATTTTACACCCTGGTCATTGATAGTTATAAAAATTAAATTGTTTTGACATTGTAAATATTTGACATCACAAAAATGTAATTTTATCATAACTATAAGTTACTAGATTCATAATGGTTTGCATTTGTTACTTGAATTTACTGTTTTGGAACAAATTGTTTAAAAAAACATAGTTTATAAGTAGGCTAAGTTTCTAAGATTTTCCAACTTTCACCTGTCCTCTGAAGCAACGGCACAATCTGATAGTGTGTTGATTTCTTTGACATTAATTTTAATTTAAGTACTCTTACTAACTACATATATCTTCTAGTGTTATTTTTTATGGATTGATTTTCACTTTTAATAAATAATTTAGGAAAATTTGTTGTATTATTTACCCTTGATACTTTGTGTACAAAAAATTAGACAACTTATTAACCAAAATTAATGTGGTGGTAAATTTTTGGATAAGCAAATGTTTAAAATATTTCTTAGATTATCAAATATTTTTTATTACATTAATTAAGTATATCTTATTACACTAATAAGTCCCATGCTATATATTTTAAAGTTGCAAGTTGGTTTTAAATAATTATTAAATTAAAAAAATGAATATATAAAAACAATTTTTATATAAAACATTGAATAACCTGCATATGATTGTTTGTTATAAGTTTTCAATACAGATTTAAATGGGATAAAATAAAACAAATTGTTTTTCAACTATATGTATAAAAAATTATAGATAAATACATTTTAGTAACAATAAACCATTTATTTAGAACTAAACGTTAAAATATTTTAAAATATTAGTTTCAATTGTTTTATGGTGATCTTGAAAAAGTACAATTAATATAATTCACCCTCTCAAGTAAACTTTGCATGAACATGTCACGTGTGAACGGTTTCAATTTTTATTTAATGAAATAACGTTATATTCTGAGCACGTGACAATAGGAATATGCGTGTTTTTACACACCCACACGTTTTTTTTTATATATTATTTTTTTAAATTGTTATACAATTGTAAAAGTATATCCAGCTCCAAATAAGTAAAATTTAGTATATTTTAAAATATCATACAGATACGGTTACTTTAAACGCCCATAATTTTGGCGCGCTTGGCGTGACGTCATAGTCTATGATAGTCAACGAGTAAAAAGGTCTAGATTGTTAGTACCAATCGCAACCACCAAACAACGGCGCTCTATTGTATTATACTCTGACGTCACATTCGATCCGACGAATGGCCTTGCGTGTAAACGATGGATGACAAAAAACTTGAAAAAAATATATAGAAACTGACTTCCAGGCACTAAAATATAATTAACGGAGGTTTTCATTTAGAATAGATACCTAATCAGATATTTTCGACGTCGGTGCCAGCCGATGCAAAGCAAATCTAATATATTTCGATACGTAAAATACATACTTACCTATTAGATATTCATATCTTAAAATATTGTTGGCTGGCGGTAAACATAGTCGTACGTCTGTATTTAAGTTCTAACAAAGCGCCTAAACACCCGATTTTAATGAACAATGTGTTTACCGATTCGTTAATGACCGTGTGATATTGGCTATATTTTAGCTATCGTATTTAGTTCACATTACCAACGGGTTAAAGGTTTGGGAAATAAATCATTACTTTCCGTTACCAGTTTATTTAAAAAAAAATCTTATTACATTAGTTCGTAGGTTAAGTTTTAAAGTATAATTAATATTTAACAAGCTGTGCGAGTGCTTCCAAGCAACGCCATTTGTCGGGCAGGTAGAAGGGCTCGAAGACATGTGGGAATGGAGCGTCCCAGCCCGCGACTCGCGCTACGGGCGCCTCTAAGTGCAAGAAACATTCCTCCTGGAAAAAGATCAAAACGTATTCAATATTGATACATCAGTTCAATTCATTTTTTTATTGTGGCTTATAGGCGTGCCATTTGGACATAGTTTGATATATCAGAAATACACTATTTGTCAAAACCTATATTCGGAATCATTAATTCCGAAAAAGTGCCTGAGCAGTGAAAACAGTTGCTGAAATAAAATCAGCGTGACCAGCTGTTTTTACTTTTTTCTCATAATATATATATTGTATGTAGTATATAAAATTGAATTTACTAGACGTTACTGGGTATTTCGAAGTGAATTTTATATATACATATAATATTTAGCACCTCCATTTCAAAATATTACAAATAGGTATAATGAAAAAAAAACGAGCAAGCCTTACAGTAGTCGCTTATAATGTGTAACATCTGACATCTCATCCTATTATTTTTATTTTACTCGGTACTCAGAAACTTTTTAGTTAATGTAGTTTTGATTTGTTTTTATTTATCAAAATTAAAAAGTGTGTTTTAGAGCAATTTTTTAAATGTTTAAATGTTGTAAATGGAGGTGCATAAAAATAATAGCGCACGCTTCCCCGGCGTACTGTTACACACTTCCGTCCCTTTTCACGAAACCACTCCCACAGATTGCAGGAAGCGAGAGCAAATTTGTTACACATCAAAAATATTTGTTCTTTACTTTGTAGTGGTTTATAATTTTTTTATTCATTTGTGTATTTTGAAAGTCGTTTTTTTAAACTTTGCCAGTTCTCAGTCAGAGGCTTATTTTTTCCGAACTGGTAGTAGATTATAAAGAATAACGTTCAGTAAAAATTGTAATAAATAACAATTTAATGCTGAATAAAATATTTTGAACTTTGAATGAATGGTATCATATTTAGATTGTGTGTATTGTGTGTTGTGTAGTGTAGGTACCTGCACGGTGGCGGCGATCTCGGCACCGAAGCCCGACGTGAGCGGCGCCTCGTGGGCTATCAACAATCTGCCTGTTTTCTTCACAGACTGTAACAGATACCAATTTGAATTTAATCCTTTCTTCGAATTACGTGAAAACAAAAGAAGAAACGGTTTTGGCGTTGGCGAGTATAACTTTTGCCATAAAAATTGGTATTTTTGACATCCCTTGCATTTGCCATTACTATTAAAATTCATTTTTTTTTAAGTTTGGGCAATATATTTACATATACCACCTACGTACAGGTAGTTATGTGGAAATCACTGGCTAGAGAAGCCGGTACTACCCACTAAACCCAACAAAACCTCCCCGGTCTTAATGGGGCGTCGCAGGACCGCTTGCGCAGTCAACCACGACGCCCTGACGGCAGGTCTGCCGAAGCAGACCACAACAACAATGGGGTTGCTCCAAAGTCCACTCTGCTATCAGAGAAGTACAAGGAGCCTGCATGGCACACTAGGCTTCGCCATGCTAGATTCCCAGATACTATAGACACTAGTTTACCTCCCTAACTACGACAAGGAGGGAAGGGGGTGTTCGGCGACTGTACGGTATATTTATAAATAAAAAATACAACACTACACTTATACGGTCGATGACCTCGCAGCGCACGCCCAGCTACTCGCTACTAGGACAGCAGTGACTGTAGGAGACGGACAGACAGACGCATACTCACATTGCAGACGGTCTCCGCATCCCACGGCGCGATGGACATGAGGTCGATGACCTCGCAGCGCACGCCGAGCTGCTCGCGCGCCAGCTGCGACACCTCCAACAGTACGTGCACTTGTGTGCCCCACGCTACCAGCGTCGCCGCGTCACCTGGGGATAAGACACGAAACTTATATACAATTAATAGTTTGTTATAAAAAATGTTTGTTATAAAAATGTAAAATGTATATTCGATAATCGATCAATTTTCTTTTAAAACATTTTTTATAGTATTACTCAAGTTTTAATGTAATATTCTGATATTTTTTAAAATAAATGCAATAAATTTTGTTTTAACTTTTTTGATTGATGGTTTTACTGTAATAAAAACCATCAGTGTATATGTATTATGTACTTCAAACATATAATAATTATTGATTCACATATAATAATTAAGACACACTACAAATATCATTGCTTTACTAAAATTACACAGCACTGTTTCAGTATAAGTTTACCCATCCTTTTAATAATTTTAATGAAACTTCGAATACTCCAGGCGTAATATCTAAATCATAATAATCCATATATGTATTTAATTTATAAAATATATTACAATAAATATAGGTTACTATATTTATTGAATAGGTTACTATATTTATTGTAATATATTATTATATAGTATTAATATGTTATTATTAGTATTTATTGTTATATATATCTAACAATTTTAGCATAAATATTAATGAATCACAGCATTACCTTCTCTCAAAATCTGCGCTTTACCAATAGGCAAAGTATAACTATCCACTGGAACTTCTTCAGTCGCTGAACGGTATAAGATTTTAGGTTCTAAAAATAAGCACGGATCTCTGTCTTGTATACATGAAAGCAAAAGACCTTTGGCGGTTATGGCCCCCCTCGGTACTACTATCTATCGATAAAAAATGGTAATATTATTAATTAGTAATATTAGTATAGTAGTTTCAAGTAAAATTCTGATTACATGGTAAATATGGAGGGTAGAGTAAACTAAGGAGAACCATCTCTGTGTATGAAAAAGTGTCCACCGAAAAGCGTCAATTAGGGTAGCGCCACAGTAGCAAGTGGGTAAAATTTTAAGAAAGAGCCAATTGTATTATTAAAGGTAAACAAAAAAACACAATTTAACTAAAAAAATGAGACTCTATGTTTAATGTTTATATTATATCACCAATTACTCAAGTCACCCAAAATATTTCATTTTTCTTCTCAGCATATTTCACTCCGTTTACAACTGCTAAATTCATAACAATCCCTCTTGCTACGCTAGCGCTATTTTGGTGGGGTTTTCAATTATAATTTTGATTTTTAAAATAAAACTATCTTTTTGGATTATTTCGCGGATTTATTTTGATTTTTGGTTCCCGACGGACCGTCACGGAAGCGATGAATCTATCGAATCAAAAAGATATCTTATTTAAAACGTCAAATATTCGCGTAAATCCAAGAAAGTATTTTATAATTTTGACTTACAGTTGGACATTTTTTCAACTTGTCCCCCTTATAACACGATTCTTTGTACGTCTACGCACCATAATATATATATAAATACGTGAAGCGAAAACTTTGTACCTCTTAACTGATCTGTTAATTATTGTTTAATAGCTATTGGCGAGCTTTAGTTTTAAATAATAAAAAAACAATAATCGTGGTCGAAGTTCGACCACTCGGCGAACTCTAGTAGCAATTAAGTTATATAATAGTAAGTTAGTTAATCTCACCTTAATCCCAGGTGCGTGAGCAAAGAAAGCCTCGGGGCTCTGCGAGTGGTAGAGGGCGCCGTGGCCGACGGCGCCGCACGGCGAGCGCACGGTCAGCGCGCCGCACGAGAACTGACCGCCTGACCGGTAGCGGTACTTGGCTGCTTCGTTCACTAACTGATGTTATATGGAATGGTATAAACAGTTAACAGTGCGTTAATATATCTTCCTAATGCCTAGTGCAAGACTGCAGTCGCATGAGGAATGACCGCCTGACCGGTAATGGTATTAGGCTATTTCGTTAACTGACATTATATGGAATCATATAAACGGTAACTGTACCATACCATATCACCAAACGGTAACAGTGAGTTGAATGCTAATATTGAAATATTGTGAGTGAATCTAGAGTGAGTCTATAAATGGTTATTAGTCAAAAAATTAATGTGAATGTGCGATAGATGGTGTTGCGTAATTCCTTATTTATTTTATCATTAGAATAAGTATAACTAGCAAATAATTAATATATTTAAATAAATAAATTAATATCAAATATTGATAACTCCAAATTTCGTTAAAAAATAATTTTTGGTTCAGATTGTATGCAACAGTAATTCAGTAGGATTATTTTAGGATTCTACAGTATCAAAAATTACAGGTTATAGATATTATCTATTAACGGTATTTTAGTTTTTTTTAAAAGTATTATACAAAAATTTTATAAAGTTTTATTAAGTGTCTCCTGAAGGTCGCTTGGAGTTAGCTGGTTAGCCAATTAAGGTATCGATATATTATAGTTTTGTATGTTTAAATTTGTGCCACTTCACTAATCACTGGTTTAATACTTGTGACTAAAATAAATACTTGAAGCCATTAACAAGAAAATTGAATTAAATTGAATTAAAATAAATATATAAAATATAAATCAATATATTATAAGCTTTGTTTTCATGGAGTTTTACTTTTAGGAAGAAAGAGTAAGACACAACATAAGATGTGCAACTGTGATCTAAAGGTGGTGGCAGGCCCAAATCTGCAGCAAGTGGCAGTCTTGAATTTGTTTCATAATAATGACTTTTTGACTGGGAAAATTACATCAACTATATACAATTAGTAATATTAGTAGAAAAATTAAATATTTCCAATTTTGTATAAAAATCTTAAGTTTATATTATATATGCTTTATTTAAAATCACCAAGCACAGATAAATAAAAAACAGAAAAATATAAGAGTTGTGGAAAAAGCACTAAAAAGTAAAAAATAACTGATTGGTAGTTTTCATTTACTATACATACTTAATCAAATATTTTCAAAGTTGGTGTGCTTTGCTTTGTATTGGCTGGCACCGATTTCGAAAATATTTGATTAGGTATGTATAGTAAATGAAAACTACCAATCAGTTATTTTTTACTTTTTAGTGCTTTTGTTTGAAGTCGGTTTTTATTTTTCCCTTTTTAGTGTAGACAGCAGTAGCAAAGTAAGAATTCTAACGTGTTAGGCTTGTCAAATCAAAAAAAATAAGCCCAAACTCAAAGTATCTACTATTAGCCATTGAAGAGTTCCACCTATCCACCTTCTGGCCTTACCATCAGATCAGGTCAACAATACCGAACCACTGTACTATCAACGGAAATAGAAACACTTGCAAAGTTTCAAGTCAATATATATGTCACCTGATCAAAAGCTGGAAAAATATAATCAGCAAACTGTATTTCGGCTATGGCGGTAGCTCCGGCTGTGGCCATCCCGATACCGAACCCAGCAATGCCTTGTTCACATAATGGTGTGTTGAAAACTCTATCTCTGCCATACTTCTCCTGAAATGTAAAGTTTAGTTTAAGAAAATACTTTAACATTTAGTACATTTATAATAATAAAGAAGGCACAAGTTTAGCATATGTGACGCGGCCCCAATATTTTAAGTCATTTATTCAGTTTTAATTAAAATGTTAATAGTTGATAAGATTTATATGTTAAGGAAATAATACAAATTGTATGATAAGTACTTTCTTAGATTCATGCAAATATTTGACATTTTAAATAAAATTATTTTTCAAATTTGACTTAGTCTCTTCCATGACTATGTTCACTGTAAGAAGTATTCAATCAAAATGTGAACAGATAGTTTTTAGAGAACTTTTAGGCCTTTTTACACCTTCCTACAATTTTATAGTAGGTACATTCTTTTGCTGTATCTCTTAAGGTTAAAACAGTTTTAGACATTTTTGCAATAAATGCACACAGATATACAAACAAACTGATAAACAGACAAACATTTTAATACCTTCTTGGTGTCTAATGTCTATATTATGTACACATATCACAGTAATTGTTTTTAAAAATTATTTCATGTACTAATTTTGGTTTATTAGTATTTTATTATATGTATAGATTACTTTTTAAGCGAGTGAAGTTAAACTTTAAATAATATTATATATTACCAAGTTGAAAAAATAACAAACAAAATACCTGTAAACCTAGAGCACATCTGAACACTCCACCAAAACCTACATCTTCACCAAATAGCACAGCTGTTGGGTCATTTTTGAGTGTTATATCCATGGCGTTGTTTATTGCTTGCATCATGTTCATTTTTGTGGTATTCCCTAAAATTCATATAAAGATATTTCTTAAGTTTTATCATAACTATTGTAGCATTATAGTACATTGCCACTTTATATAAAGAATAATATTTAAGTAAGATCACAGTTTAAAATATTTCAACCAGTGTAAGAGTAATTAGGATATTTTGATTATAAATACTTCTTTAAGATTCTAAAACTCACCTTCCACTGGTTTCTCATTATCTGGGTGATAAATAAAATGGGAAGACAATCGTTTTGAAGAATTGTACACATGATTAATAAATTTATTGAGATTCAAAACTTTTTTGGTTATAAACGTCGTCATTGTGCTATGTAACATTTGACGCTAATACACAGAGGCGTTGTAGTAAAGAATAAATTAAATAATAATACATCTTATCTACAATTGTAATTAGTGAACTTGATAAATACTGATAAAGCATGATGAATTTGTCTTCGAATGTATTGTTGGTTTTAGCTTAGTATAAAAAATATCAATGTCTTTTGTATCTTATATATTTTTTTAAATATTCATAATCATCAACCGAAGTACGTCAGCATTTTTACAACTCGAATCATATGAAATTGAATAATAAAAGTTGAAAGTTCAATGTACATTGTATCACAGATGAACAAAACCAATTATTATAGAAAATATTATGACTTTCAAGTGTTAGATAAAAAATAAAAATATAAATAAAAGCAAACACAGATAAGGAACAACTAAACGTCAATGTCAAAGATGATTATTCTTCTTGTCTGTTTGTAAAAGCACATTTGAAAATTCAAAGTTATATGTATAATGAAATTAATAATAAAAGAAAATCGGTTAAGCAATATTTTGTGAATACAATATAAATGATGTAAGTTTTTATTTAAGGTTAACATAATTTATGTTTCGTTTAAAACTAAAATTATTCATTTAAAATGTTTGGCAAGCATAGACATTTTTAAGCGGGGTTTTACCTAGAACATGTTTATCTTGAACTCTTTAAAATATTATTATGATTATTATTTTGATTAATACATTTCTACTTGAACTTTGAATACAGTAACGAAGCAGGAAGAATAGTCTTATTTATAACTAATTATACTTATACGTAATACCATTTCGGGTTTGAACAGTGAACTATTGTCAGTAATTTTTGCGGGATCCTTTTGTCGGGTCTAATTTATACACCAACAGCTTATTTATTTAAACAAAGTTAGATTTAGTTATTTAAAATATTTGGTTAATTTGAAACGATTATAGAGACTTTTTTATAATGCACTCGATGACGTAGATCTATCCACCATAATTACCGCCGTACCCGTACCCATGTAATACGGACAAAGGTCGTATGATTAACGATTGTATCCTGTTAAAACTTTTATTCTTTTTTAATCAACGACAATACAGCCTTATGTTGAACCTACAAAAATATTTTTTTATTATTCTATGTGTATTTCCGTAGATCACTGTGTAAAATATTTACTTACGCCTTAGTTTTAAACCTGAGTAGCATCTTCCTAGTATCCATCTAAGATTAATAGGATTAACTGCCTCGGTGGTGTAGTGGCTAGCATGTACGGCTGCACATCCGGAGGTCCTGGGTTCGAGTCCCGGGTCGGGCTAAGTTTAGTTATTGAGTCTTTCTGTATAGTAAGTCTCAGTAACAGCCCGGAGTTGGGAAGTTGGCGGTGTTTCACACCCGTGCCTCGGAGAGCACGTAAAGCCGTCGGTCCTGCGCCTTAACTCTCAACGGTCGTGTCGAGTGGTCGTCCCACCGGAGTATGAGAGTGATAGGAATAGAGAGTGCACTTGTGTCTGCGCGTACACTTGTGCACTATAATATCTCCTGCGCAGTTGGCTAATCTCAATGAGATTGGCCGCCGTAGCCGGAATCGGTTAGGAGAACATCATCAATAGGATATACATTAAAAATAAATAAATAAATAAGATTGGTACATGTATGAACGTAATAAATAGTATAATGTGTGTACACTGTACTGTTTAAATTAATAGAGTATAATATTAACTGACGTTTTTACAATTACTAGCATCTCATATTATGTAAATTATTTATTATCAACGGACGGTTAGCTCTAGGAAAATTAATTGTACAGCTATTAATTTGCTTAATCGCCACATAAAACGTTCCCGAGATGAAAGAATTATAATTTATCACAATGATAAAGAATTGCTTATAAATTTTATATTCTTTATTTTTGTACGTTAAAAATATAACTTACAAATAAAATATTATGTAAATAAAAAAAAAACAATTAAAATAGCTTTTATCAAAAAATCACCATGTCTTTGTCTTGAGTCTAGACTTTCAGCAGTAAATTCTTGATTAATAAATATTTATGCATAAGTATAATTTAAAAACAGGTTTCATTTGAGAAGAAATAGTGGTTTCTTAATGGTTTATTTTGTACAACGTTTTTTATTTGCTTAATGTCTATCAACATAATATATAAATAGACGTGATAAAATATTTATTAAATTAGATACAATCCTTACTTTTTTATAAATTAAATCTGTGTTCATTTATTTGTTTTTTTTTTAAATGTTGTGACGGCGCATCTACATGTTTTTTTGCATATAGCTAGTTTAAGGACTTAGAATTTGATATATTATTAGATACTAGCGACTCACCCTCACTCCGCTCGGGTTCGTCCCTTCTTAGTAGGTACTTACGTTTTAACGTTTAGTATAGATTTCTCAGAGATGAGATATTCTCCCGCAGTAAAAAGTGTCCTATATGTTGACCCGGATTAGGAAAATCCTTCCAGTGGTTTTTCCGTGATGCGATCACAGACAAACAGACAAAAGTTCTAAAAACTATAGATTCGGCCTCTGTATTGTTAATAATGACTATTTCAATAAGATTTTCCAATAAATATTTAATGTACAGATTCGACTCAGAATTTTATTATATGTATAGATAATAATAAGTGAACCTTATAAATACTGCATAACAGGGTACATATATGCTACTTTATTAAAAAATATAAAATTAGATAAATCAATGATGAAAATGCATGAATGAGTCAAGTAGTTTCCGTGAGATATCAGTCAGTAGCTAGCTACAAGCTTGTTAGGGACACTATTTAGGGTCACTTGTACTTTACAAATAGTAAAGAAATTATAAAAATTTAATAATTGTCGTCTATTACTCTTTATTTAGATACTATTACTATGTTTAAAAAATATTAGTTTGTAGAAAAAGTTTATTTTTTTGCGTCATAACACAATTTAAATACTTATTTTACTTTTTCGTCATATAAAGTAAAATAATTCTAATAATAAAACAAGCTGGCACGTAACTTGTGCATAACACAGTTTGTGGCAGTAACCGCGAAGTCATCGGCCGTCCGCGTCGTGACTGAAAGTAAAAGTCGGTCTAGCGATCAGACAAACATGCATTACATTGCATACGAAATATAGCGCGACCCGGTTTCTATAGGCTCAATAACTGCTGCTTAAGTTACTTAAAATTAAAAATAAACAAACAAATGGTTTTCCCACATGTATAAAAAATGAATGCATTGAATCTTTATCTTTTTGCTATATTTACTTTTTAATTCATTGTTTTGTAATAAATAAGATCGAGAAGAAAATCATCACCGGCTAATCTCTATCATAACTTATTCATTTCACGTAGAATTGTCGTAATAACTTGAGCTTTACTGACATGTCTAAAAGTCATTGTGTTTATAATGATAGAATTAAAAAAAAACCTTTTATGTTAAGATTAGTGTAGTTTTTTAGACGGAATCAATACATACTAATATTATAAAGAGGTAAAGTTTGTGGGTTTGTGACGTTGTAGGGGGTAATCTCTGGATCTACTGAACCGATTTAGATGAAATTTGGTAAGAAGATAGTTTGAGACCGTGAGAAGGACATTGTATACTTTTTATCCCAGAAATCCTTAAGGGGGTGAAAATGGGGATAAAAATTTGTATTGGGAATCAAGCTAGGGACGAACCCGAGCTAAGCGAGGGTGAGTCACTAGTAACATAATAAAAGTGATCGCTGTCTTTACATGAAAGATATTTAAGAAAAATTATTATTGTATGTGTCTTCACATATTAATGCAAGAAAACCCTAAACAATGATTTTTAGAACTTGTGAAAAGCAATTCAAATCCTGAATAAGATGAAAAAAGGGAGTGTAGAGTTACTATGATATTATTTGCTTACGACCATTTTTACGATGTCTATCTTAAATATAGATTGGTGTTTTATATAGTAATACGTGTATATAAAAAAAGCAAAACTGAATCAAATACTAAATTAAAAATACAAAATTATAAACACGTAGCAAGTACTTCGATAAAAATGGTCCTATTTGTTAATCCGTGATGTAAGCTATAGCATCGCACAAATCCGTTGAGCTGATACCTACTATCTAAAGAAGTAACAATACTCACTCTTTTATGTAATAAAATAATAATATTAGACTGATTAATTATGAAATAATTTAAATTTTACAGAATTTAATCGAATTATTTTTGATAAATTTATACACGCAGGCCTTGCAGTTTTTATCTAAATATATTATGCTTTGGAAAACTTTAGGGAAATTATAATTTTTGTGTTATTGAAGTTCACTTCAACTTTTTTCTCTTTGCTATTGTCTGAAAATGATTATATTACCTATATGATATTATTTCCGTTGCTATCTTCAAAGATTAATATTTTTACTATTTTTTTTTGAAATATGCAAAATATTTTTTACTAGCGGCTCACCATCGCTTCGCTCGGGTTCGTCCCTTAGAGTACCTACATATATGCGATTGATGTGAGAATCCAGCTAGAGAAAAAAAGGTTAATATATTATTATCTCCTCTTTGTGAGATATTCAAAGTTAAGAAACGAAAAGAAATAAAAGAAAGTTTTTATTAATAAAATCATCGATCAAAAAAGTACACTACATACATAATCAGCGACAAAAATGTCCTCACCTAATGAGTGCTCATTTGAACATTTCAGCGCGCTTTTAATTTTGTTTTTTTGTTTTGTGAAAACAATTTCAAGCATTGCATTTAAGGCTTATTTTACATTGTTGTATATTTATTTCAACTGGAATAATTACCTAAACACAATTGGTGACAGTTTTAAGAGAACTTTAGAATGAGATTGTGTAGGTATCTAGTACTATTTTGATCGATATTAATAATTTATTAATCTTACAGTTTTGAAATATAAATAACCAATGAATTTTCACTTCACGTTTCCATAGAAACTTGATTTTTTTAAAGTATACGTGTACTATTTGTAAGTTGCCGGTATAATAATATTTTAGAGAAATAAAATAAGTTCAGTCGGTCAATA